GGGGGCCCCCCAGCCAGCGGCTGTGGCTGCGGCTGCTGGCCCGCAGCCCCTCCTGGAAGCGGCGGCCCAGGAAGGTGTAGAGCAGGGGGTTGAGGAAGCAGCCCAGGCAGGTGAGGCTGAAGGCCAGGGAGGAGCCCATCTTCACCACCTCCGGCTTGTCCTTCCAGCCTTGCAGGAAGTTGAAGACGTGGTAAGGCAGCCAGCAGAGGAAGAAACTCAGCACCACGGCGGCCACCACCTTGGCCGTGCGGCTGGAGCGGCGGCCCCGGTGCCTGGCCCGCAGCGCCACCACCGCGTGGCAGGCCAAGATGACCAGCAGCGGCACCAGGAAACCGATCACGAACCGCACCGAGATCAGCGCCTGCTTCCGCCTCTCCTTCACCTCCTTGCTCCCGAAGTCATTGATGCAGCGGGCGCCGCCCTCCTTTGTTTCCTTCACAAACCGGAAGAACAGGTAGGGGGCGGAGAAGGCCCCGGCCAGCAGCCAGGCCCCAGCAGCCGCCCCCCAGGCCAGGCAGGGCGTGCGGACCCGCTGGGCCCAGACGGGCCGGGTCACCAGCAGGCAGCGGTCGGCCGAGATGAGGGTGAGCTGGAAGGCGCTGGCGAACATGCTGAGGAAGAGGAGCGAGCTGATGACTTTGCACAGGAAATTGCCAAAGACCCAGTACCCCCCGGCGACAGTCTGGGCGGCGTAGAAGGGCAGCAACAGGGAGTAGAGCAGGTTGGCCAGCGCCAGGCTCAGGAACCAGACCGTGTTGACCGTCCGGTGCATGCGGAAGCAGGTGACCCAGACCACCACGCTGTTGCCCACCAGGCCCAGCAGGAAGGAGATCACAAAGATGGCCACCGAGACCTGATTGAGGGCGTCGGAGCCGGCTGACTGGTTTCTGGGTGAGGTGGTGTTGCCGGACACCTGGGGAGAGGTGACTGCGTTAGCGTGCTGTCCGGCCCGGCACCTCACTCCCAACACGCAGCCTGTGTTATCTGCCCCCCAGCTCAGCCAGTGCATTCCAGTCCCAACCCCCCGCGACCCCAGCTTTGCCAGAGCCCCCAACCCTGACCCACAGCACCCCCACCCCCTGCCCCCCAGCCTCTGCTGTCCCAGCCCCCCATGCCCCCAGCTCTGCCAGAGCCCCCAACCCTGACCCACAGCCTCTGCTGTCCCAGCCCCAGCCCCTCCCCTTCCACCAGAGGCTCCGCCCCTGGA